GAACGACTGGACAAGATAAATGCGAGGATACGGTTGTCGTTGTTGAACCGATCGGTAAGGATCTGACGCTGCTCAACTTTCGTCGTACCGTCTAGACGGAGGTATCGGTGTCCGTGGATGTTAAGGAACTGTTCCAAGATGTCGAGCATCTTGGTCATCTGGGTGAAGATCAAAGCTCGGTGGCCACCTGCTTTGAGGTCCCGAAGCAATTTATCGAGTCTTTGCAACTTGCCACAGTCGTACTGCAAAAGTCTCTTGTCGGGGAATGCGATCGAAAGACGCATCTGTGCCTCGTGAAAGGGGTCATATGGCGGGAACCGTTCCTTCTTCGTGAGATACCTCGTCTCTATGGGAGTCAGGGCAGCCTCGGTGATACCAGTCGCCACGGCAGCAGGGGTAACGCAAGCGAATCTCTGAACATAACCGTCCATTGCCTGGGACCGTTCTTCAATGGACAAGATCATCGATGCGAGGACTGACGACTGGCTCGACAGCCAGTCGGCTAAGGAGCGTTTCCGTAGGGGCCCGTTGGCGGTAGGCCGCTGCTTACTGTCGGCCGTGAGAAATTCGATGAGACTTGATCCGTACACCGGGCGACGACCATGGCGCTTTGACTCAAAATAAAGACATCTCTCGAGCTCTGCCATCCTCCTTTTCCTGGACTCATTCTCCAGAGCGTCTAATGTGGACTGCACCGTGGTACCATCGAAGCTCATCTGCCAGTTGGTACGGTGATACTGGCGTTCCCTGAGCGTGTTGAAGGGACCATAAGCCATGAGACGGGTACTGTCATCGGCCAACCGCCGAGAAATATCTTCTCGGGATATGGGTACTAGGTTGAGGAAATCAAGGTCGAGCTTGGTGAGTGGATGCTCATACAATAGGCGCCGACGGACGAGAAGGTCTTTGATCTCATATTCCGTGACCACAGAGCGAGACATGGCAAACGACGTAGATATGGGCCGAGTTTCGAAGAGATCGGGATGATTGCACACCTTCCGTAGTTGCATTAGACAGTTGATGATGGACAGGTAATTTCCAGACGCAAGCGTCTCCTTGGTCTGTGCGCGAGACATAAAGCCATCATAGAGGAATCTTTGACGCTTCGAGAGTCTGCAATAAACGACATGTTCGTACTTCGCCGGCATCTGCTTCTCCACATCGGCTTTGAGACGACGCAAAATGTAGGGTCGGAGTACAGTGTGAAGCTTGGTGACCACTCGCTTTGCTTCATCATCCATTGTCTCCCTGCCATGCTCCAAGATCTGCTCCACGGGGCGTCGGAACCACTCAGAAAAGTTCCTGAGATCAGCGAACCCTTCGATCCCTTCCTCATCGCCATCAGAGGGCATCAAGAAGAACAGCAACGACCATAGTTCAGTCAGATTGTTTTGAAGCGGTGTGCCGGTTAACAAGAGTCGGGCTCGTGTCCTGAAAGTGAGCAGTGCCTGCCACCTTTGCGAGCGGAAGTTCTTGATGTTGTGTGCCTCGTCAAGAATCATATAATGCCAGCTTCTTCTTTTCAGAACTTGCTGATCCTGGAGGACTAGTTGGTAAGAGGTGATCAACACATTCCAACTCGTATCATCCATCCAGCCCTTTCGCTTCTGTCGACGCTCCTCTTGGTTTCCGTAATACGTCATGATTTTGAATCCGGGGCACCACTTCTTAAACTCCATCTCCCAGTTGAGAATCACACTAGTAGGCACGACGACTAAGTGTGGCCCCCAAACCTCGTGCTCCACGGCCAAGTGCGCCAGAAGCGCTATCGTTTGGATTGTTTTACCGAGGCCCATTTCATCTGCCAGGATGCCATTGATGTGGTTTGTATACAGGCCAGCAAGCCAATCCAGACCGAAATGCTGGTACTCCCGCAGAGTGCCTCGGAGAAGGTGCGGCACCGGGGTCTTCAATCCGGGAGCAGGGGATTCGCTGGGCTGTGGGTGTTTCTCCGGTGTTTCGTACGAGGAGATGGATTCGGGCTCCGATGGCTTGGTGACAAGCGTGCCCGGTGATGCTTCACTTGAGGGCTCGCCGCTTTGGTAAGCTTCGTGGCGGGTGTGTTCATGCTCTTCATGGGGGTTAGTCTGAGCCACTGCATCAGATGCGTCGGGCAGAACTGCGTCCCCGTTGTAACTGGCGTCTGTCATCTCAACATCAGGTGTTTTGTCCGCGGCTGGAGTAGGCGCGGGAGTCAATTCTGACGCAGATTCAACAGCAGCCTTTGGCTCAGCATCAGCAGTTAAATGAACAGCGGAGTCGGGGGCAGAAGGGGACGTCGGGGCTGGATCAGGCTCGGGCGCAGAAACGGCTTCCTCTTCATCATTGAGTATCGACATTTCTAGCGCCGGTCCATTAGGCACAAGGGAGACTTCATCAGGATCTTCCGGTTCCTCTTCCTCCTCCCCATCTTCCCCAGCCGATGCTAGTTTGGTATCTAAGTCGTCGATAATGGCATTATCTCCACCATCAACATCGCTCTGCGATCCGCCATAGTTCGTTGCTATGTCCTTGGAGGAGAAGAAACCTAATAGCCCGGGTCCATCACTCTCTGCATCGGAGTCGGGCTCGTCAGATTCATCCTCATCGGTGTCGCCCATATCATCATCCATATCAGTGGACTCGTCTTCACTGTCGTCCAGGAGCACGGGATCCACATCTTCAAGCTCTGGTTGCACCTCTGCCGATGGATCGAGAGACTCAGTAGCACGGTCCACAGAACGATCAACTTCTGAGGTGTCACTCTCGTCGGAAAATGCTGTAGCATCAGAGACCACGGACTCGTGGTCAGAATCATGGTTGGTGTTGGGTAAATTAGCGTATTTCAACCGCAGTTCCTCTGCTGTCAAGCCTTCGTCATCATCTACATTATTTTCATCTTCACTTTCTGAATCGGTCGACGACATATTGTCTTCATCTTCCGAACCACCCAATAGCTCATCCGAATCCTCCTGTTCTGCATCACTGGTATCGGGTGCGTCGCTCCCACCTTCGCCGAGAATCTCCATGCGCCTTTTCTCAAAAAGCATTGTAGATTGCTTGATAGCACGATCCAGAGCTTGCTGATCTTCAGCCTTCCGCTCCTCCTCCCAGCGTGCCAGGCGCATCCGATCCACCTCCGCTCGCGCAAGGTCGAACATTTTCTGGAGATCCTTAGCCAGCTGTTTGCGCTTCCCACGCATTTCCTCCTGCTGTTCCCGGAGGATGTCCTCCGGATCCTTATTGCGCTTCCGCCACGCATCCGCGCACCACTGAGCGAATAGCTTGGCCGTATTTCGATGACGTCTGTGTTCCTGGTCGAGAAGCTTCTTGAAATAGAGAGCGTGCGCGACCAAATGGTCTTGATGGGAGTATTGCTGGGGAGGTTCCTCTTGTTGCTCGGGCAAGTATGCAGAACAGACATCTGGACTTAACAGTCCGCCCGGTTCAGCTGCCACAGCTATTCGACGCCTCTTTAGAGCCTCCTCAAGTGCGTCAGCTGGTGTGAGCACGGATGGATCCCTTATTCGCCCGTCATCACTCTCCAACCATTCCTTGAATGAGCCATACTTCCGCGGAGCTAGAACGTGGCCTGGATGCTGGATACCGATGGGTGGTCTTTTGACCTTAATCCGTAGCCGTGGCGCTTGCTGGCCATATTCTTCATCATCTTCTGCATTATCAAAATCGCCATCACCAGTCTCTGCCATAGTCGTCGAAATGTTGTTCATAGAGGAACGATGTGAGCGAGTGGAGCTAGCGGTGCCAATATTCGACGATCGACGCGCCGTACCAGAGCTGTAAGATCGTGTTCGCGTATGAGATTGCTTGGGAGCTGGTGACTGAGAGATCTGGTGGCGCCTGCTGGCCGACCCTCTGGTGGTCGCGTTCCTTGGGGAACCATTGACTGCGGCGCTGCCACCAGCCAACCTCCCATTTGGCTCCGGCTGAGGCGGGGACATCGACAACGGAGACGACGCGACTCCCTTCGTAGCACCGGAAACATTCCGGCCTATGACCTTATTCTGAGCGCCGCGCGTGCTCCTTTTCTCGGATGGACTTTGCAACTGGAGCGGGATCGCGTTAACGCGAGAGGACTTACGCCTCCCATCTTGGATGAAAGATGTCGGACCATCGACGCCGGCCTTTTTCCACGGGGGGGATGCTGGACGGGAGGTTGAGCGACGAGAGGAGGAAGGACCGGCGAGCTTTCGTTTCTTAGAAGGAGGTCCTTCGAGCTGGTCGACTGCGGTCGTAGTACCGTCTTCTTCTTTGAGGTCGGCAGAGGTCGAATCCCGGCTCAGCGACTCGATCGGAGGCTCAGACGCAGGCAGGTCGGTCGGAAGGCCCTCGAGGTTGGGGGTCACGCGTTCATCTTGATGGGAGATTCCGTTCGGGCTGCCGTTTTGCATGTCTTGTAACCACGGAGACAGGGGCCCTGTGCACAGCTGACCCCAGTTTTCCCAACGAGGACGCGGTCAAATGAGGGGAAAATGGCATCAACGGGTAGCGGTAAGTGAGTCAGTATGCCACCAGAAATTTGGCATAGTTATCGGCACGAGGGCGTGACGGGTAGACGAAAAACCACGGGGATGGCAAGATTGCGTGGAGAGGTGGTTTTTTCATTCATACAGTGACGCTGCAAGTACGGGGGGGGAAGCCGTGTATGTAAGCAGTTGCTGCCATGAACCTCAGGACCCAATACCGAACTGGACGTATTTCATTGGGTATTATTGAGTATTTTTGGTACTGAAGCTTTACCGTACCGTTCATTGCTACCTTGTCGCCTCAGGCAGAAGCAGCCACTCCAGCCAATCACAACCTCCCAAATCCCGTCATCGAGTCGTTTGCACTTCATCCCATGGCCGTCTGAGCCTTCCGGTCACATCCCTTGACTTCACCTCCCCTCAATTCCCCCCCAATTCTCTACAGCAAGAAACAGTTAGTACTTCCGAGCTCTTTCTATCCCTCCCTCTTTTGCTCTTCGCTGCATTGACCCTATTGCTAACCGCGATTGCCAGATGCTGTCCCAACGAATCTTGACCCGCCGCCTGCCTCAGGTGGCCGCCCGCTACACCGTGCCTCGCGCCTCATTCTCACAGGTCCGGAGTCTCAAAGCTGCGGAGGTGGACGATCCTTTGCAGGTAGGATGTGTACTAGGAACTCCAATTGCTTACTGCCTCGGTTGATTGACACCGCTCGGTTTCGGCCTACAGAACAACAACTACCAGAACCCTCCCCGTGTTAAGCGCGCCTTCAGAGACCCCTACGGCGATTGGTGGGACAAGCAGGAGAGACGGAACTTTGGCGAGCCCGTTCACGAGGAGAACGAAATTCTCGGTGTCTTCAGTCCCGAACAATATACCCACGTCACGGCTCGCAAAGGTCTCTTCCAGGTCGGAGCCTTCGTCGTAACCTTCCTGGGATTGTGCGGTGTCGTCAGCATGTTCTACCCCGACAAGCCCAGCGTTCCGAAGACCTATCCCGATGGCTTGGAGAAAGAGCTCGGTGGACCGGGTGCTGCTCCGGTGCGTCAATGACCCGTCCTATGGACCTTTGGCTAGGCTGTGTGCTAACGAACGAGATGTAGGCTCGCAAGTCCAACGAGGCTAGCTGGTGATCGATTTTATTTCTCTGCATGGTGTGTAAATAAATACAATACGAGTTCTCTTCTATCGGCGTCCATGGATATCGGTTATTCGAATTGGTGCTTGTGGGAAGGGCCATCCCCGGCGATCAGATTCGCGGGATTAATATCCGGGTTCCGATCCCATTGGCAATCTTTTGCGCTGCATTTCCACCTACGACAGGAGTAGAATGTCGGGTGCGAGTGCAATTTACCTGCAAGAACTGTTGCGACATGGGTGCAAAGACTTAGACGGGCAATTGGGAGCGAGAACAAGTGAGGATACTGTGGACGAAGAGGAGGGCATGAGACTGAATTTACATTAAGTGATGGCACTGCTGTACCATGCTACAGCACGATCTCAGTAGCGGACGTGCGATTCTCCAGTTGGCCCAGCGGGATGTAGATTAAGCGGTCAGTATCGCGAAAGTAGTCACAGCATGCCTACGGGTATGGAATGCAAGAGGTAGAAATGTCTGAATGACTCCCTGGGTGCATGTCTCAGATGGGTCGAATATTTCCATTCTCTGGAACAGGGGTTCGGCGGTTGGCGATGGTGCGACTCAAACCCACGCCTACTACGTCAGTCGACTCGGGAGCTTTTTTCTGTTTCAGATACCGCAGAGCCAGGCCAACCACTACCAACAACATCCACACCCACCCCTTTCTACCTGATCTCTCTAGCCGCCAACATTCTCCAGGCCTTTCCACAACGCAGTCTGGACTCGCTCCCTCGGTTCTAGGAATTGAGACCACTTGACAAGACTCTTCTGCGTGGTATTTCCCTTTTCTCCCCCCAGCTGATGCTGGTGGTTTGATCGCGAGCGACTCCCTCTTATCCATCCATGGTCCCGCCCGCCGCACCTTACTCCCCTCGCAATATCACCCCCGAAACCCAAACACAGCAAGACCCGGATAGAACTCTGACTTGCTAACTCCCCGCTCATGTCGACGGCATCTACTCATTCCCGAGGCGTTAACCGACGGATTAACAGCATTCAGAATGAATCCCGCCATTCGCGCAGTCTCTCGGGGTCCCGTAGGCGGCCCGTCAACTCCTCGACTGCCTACAACTACGCTCTCCGGGTAGCCTACCTCGCCCATCTCCTGCAGCCTCGCTCGCGTCGTGTACAAAATGTACCAGTCCCCCAGAAACCTAAGAGGGCTTCCACCTCGTTTCATGATCTGATGAGCGATTTCTCCCTGGTGCGAGACTCGAAGAGCACTCGCATCCCCCATGGGTTCATCGCGGAGCTGGAAAAGAGGTTGACAGGTGTCCTGATCGGGAAAGAGAAGCGGAAAGAATATCAAGATACGCTGGTCGTGAGGACATTCGCTGCTTTTCTCAATACTCTGAAGGACCAATCGTTCAAAAAGCGCATGGAGAAGGACCGGCGGGCGGAAGACCTCGTCCTCATCTTCTACTCCAATGCTACCAAGGAACTGAGCAAAGGAAAGGATCCCGAAGATGACCACTGGAAGCTCATGGTAGACAGACACGTGGCGCTTTTCGTTCGCTTGTTTGCTCTTATTCTGAAGGATCATGACTGGGCTAAGGAGCGACCTGAACTGGCAAATCGGTTGTCGGTCTTAGAGAACAAACTACTCTCCCAAGATCAAGATCTTGTGCAGACCAACGGCGCTACTACTGTGGAAGTTGTTGCTCCCTTAAGTCACGATATCAAGGACATGCCACTTGTGCAGCATGTGGCAAGGATCTTTGACGTGAATTTGAGCCAGGTTCAGGCAGACATAGATAAGAATAAAGGGACCTGGACCGGGAAGGCGGCCCTTCAAGACCTGAAAGCCTACCAGGCCCACCTAAACCTCAAGACTCGGAAAACATTGTCTCGGGAAGACTTCGAGAACGAGGATGCGTATGAACTCTGGAAGAAGAATGAAGGTCCTGATCTGTCGCAGATGATGCTTGCCATTGTGCAGTCGAACCCGGAACTCGCCAAAAGCACCCCAGGGGGTGCGCTTCCACAGTTCAACCCGAATGGTAGTGACCAGGATCCGGCGGGGGAGCTGTCAAGGACGAACTCCGATAGGCCATCGTCGTATGTCATAGATCAGTCGCTGGATCTCAGCTCTCTGTCCTTAGGTGATGACGGCAGTGAGCCTTCAGACGAGTCCGATACGTATACATACATACCTCAGGATCCCCGATCTATGTACAAGTTTATTCTAGCTCAGACTCTGAGCCATGACCTGAAAGACCGCGAGATTGAGGCGACACAAGCGTCATCAGAGGTCCCATCAATGAAGCTATTTTCAAAGCAGTCGTCGGAGTTCCTCAATGAGGTCTGTCTTCGGTGGCGAATCCCGAATTTCTCCAGGATAGTCTTGTTTCTGGATGTTGTCCGATCCAAGTTTGTGGATAACGAAATTGATCTCAATACACTCGACTCGGCTTTCACCTTCGTGAAAGAATCGCCGTCTGCAGAGGGTAAGAGGCGGAGTAGCTTTATCGCTTCTGTTCTTTATGAAAGACATAGGTGGACGATTCATGACCTTCTGCTGATGCAGCAGATACTTTCCTCCCTTCACGAAGCTCTTCTACGGGAGTTGTATGATGTGATGATGGATTGCTACGAAGGAAAACCTCGGCCCATCGGTCCGGTGATGTACGTACTGGAGAATCATATCGAAATGGATCCCAACTACACCGAAGATTTGGAGGACATCGAGCGCTTCCGCTCATATGTGCAGGACGGGCTCGCACAGAAAGCGACTGAAAAGTATCAGGAGCTTCTGGGGCAGCTGATTCCAGTCCAGCCGGAATCCTGGGAGCTCGACCATGTTATCCAGCTCTGCGATGCCATCACTAAACTTGCGCAGAAGATCAAAAAGCGTTACCGGAAAAACCCAGAGATTATGGGGTAAGCAAACCTCCAACTCGGCACGTATATCCCTGCTTGCTCACTGAATCCTAGGGTCAACCCGTATCTCATCTTACTTTCAAACGTCCTCCCGATATTCTCCGAGGATGCCCACGAAATGGTGGTCAGAATCATTGAAATGGAGAAAGTGAGAGGTGAGGAAACCAACATTGAAGATGGATTCGATTTGTACAAGCAGCTAGCGGATGTGCGTCATCTTTTCAAGGAGGCCCTTCCTGAGTAAGTTTCTGGACCAGTGACCATTCTGCAACGCATCGGTGCTAACTGCGCGTGCAGTGTCCCCTTTCCGTTCCACATCGAAGGCCTGATGGAGGAGTTCGTTTGGCGGTGGATCCGCTTAACCGACAAGAAGGTCGCAGATTGGGTTGAACAGGCAGTCAGACAAGACGCTTTCGCCGTTCGAGACGACGGAATGATGGAAGTGGTTCCGGAGGAAAATCGACACAGTGTGTCTGTGATCGACATATTCCGCTCCTTCAACCAAGTCGTAGAGCAGATGATCTCCCTCGAGTGGGACGATGATTTCCAGTACGCCAAGTTTATGACGGCTTTGTCCAGGTCTATTGGGAGCGGAGTGGCGAGATATTGTGAGTCCTTGGAGCAGATGTTCGCTAAGGAGATGGATCGGCTTTCGCCCGATCAGGAGGCGGCTATGAACCAAACCGCTCAAGAGAGGATAATGCAGCTGGCCAAGGAAGCATGGACGAGCAAAGAAAAGATCGAACCCTTCCAGTTCTTTCCTGAGGTACGTTCGTTCGACAATGCGTGTGTCTACCTGACTAATGAAGAATTCTAGTCGTTGGTCAAGCTGAACAATGTCGAGTATGCCCTATCGCAGCTCGACAAGCTGGAAAACGAGGTCAATGTGGATGGCTGTGCAGAGGTCATCGCAAGACATGCTCAGCCTCAGCTCCAGAAGATTCGCAAGTCTACGACATATGTTTTCACCGTCAAGGTGGTGGAAGCAGAAGATTTGAAGGCGTGTGACATGAACGGAGGGAGCGATCCCTACGTCGTGCTGGCCGACGAATATCAGAAACGTATAGCCAAGACTCGCATCATCTACAACAATCTCAATCCGCGGTGGGACGATGCTGTTGACATCACCACGCAAGGCCCGGTTAACATTATCGCCACCATCTGGGATTGGGATGCAGTCGGAGACCATGACTATGTGGGACGGACTTCTATTAAGCTTGACCCGGTCCACTTCAGCGACTTCCTACCAAGGGAGTATTGGCTTGACTTAGATACCCAAGGCCGACTGCTGCTTCGCGTGAGCATGGAGGGAGAACGCGACGATATCCAGTTCTATTTTGGCAAGGCGTTCCGGACGTTGAAGCGGACGGAAAGAGACATGACTCGCAAGATCACGGAAAAGGTAAGATAGCAGACCAATGGAGCACCTCTAAAGCTGTTGCTAACATCGACTTCGCAGCTTTCCGCGTACATTAGTCACTGTTTATCGCGTCGGACGCTAAAATCATTGCTGTCGCGCGGGATCAGTATTTCGAGCGTATCCAACTTCCTGAACCGCAATCGAGCGCAATCCACCACCGCCACGCCATCGAATGCAGACGTGGAAAATGCGCTGACTCCTCTCTTTGACTACTTCAATGATAACTTTGCAATTATGAACAAGACCCTCACCTCGGAAGCCATGAAGATGGTCATGGCACGTTTATGGAAGGAAGTGCTGGCCACGATCGAGAGCTTGCTGGTGCCCCCATTGTCCGACAAGCCCTCTCACCAGAAGCCCCTCACCATGCAAGAGGTGGATGTTGTCTCACGCTGGCTCGTGCTTCTTCTCAACTTTTTCCACGCCATTGACGAAGAGACGGGCGAAGCTAATGGCGTTTCCATCGATATCCTGAAATCACCCAAATACCACGAGATCCAGACCCTGAACTTCTTCTATTTCGAGCCTACTGAACAACTGATCCGCACTTCTGAGAGGATGGCCTCTGCGACGATCTCTCGTCAGCAGGCTAACAAGAACCGGACCTCGGCGCCACCACACCTGGGTGCCGCAGGGTCTAGCAGCATGCTGGGTGTCCCCAGCGCACGTCGTGCTAAGAGTATCATGCTTTCACGCAACCTTGGCACAATGAAGAAGATGAAGGAGGAGAAATGGCGGGAGGCGCAGGCCGAGCCGAATGACGATATGATCCTGCGGATTCTGCGGATGCGTCCCGAAGCTGCGGGTTATTTGCGCGATCGCAGCCGGCAAAAGGAGCGACTGGCAGCTGCGGCAGCTGCAGATGCCATTGTGAAGCAGAGTCTAATGGCAGGAGCTGGAGGAAGAATGACGGGGACCCTGGGGCGACGGTGAAGGTAGTAAGACCAAACATTCGTGGCGTTCTTCTATGTACTTGTTGATTTTCTTCACTTTTGCGATTCAGCATTATGTGGCATTGTTTGGCCTTGATTTCGCTTGCTTTCTCTTGCTTTATTTTTTTTATTCTTTGATATGGACGTGATGATTCCCAGATCTAGTTTGTTTGCACTTTAGGGAGCGCTGAGCCTACGGGTTGGACGTTGATTGGGAAGTTGCGTGATATTACAATAGCATAATCGTTTAATCAGCAGCCATGACCGATTCATGACATGATCGTAGGCCAGGACTGGAATAGCAAGAGATCTCACCTCAATTGGCCATGGTAAGCTGGGAGATGATCTCGGGTCCGGCAAGACATCCGAAGTAATAGCCATATGTTTTCAAAATATTTGACTTCAATCCCATTCATATACACTCAGCTATATAGAGAGAGAGAAAGAACCACTCTAAGCAAGAGCAATACACTCAATCTCAACGGGCACGTTCTTAGGCAGCTGCTTAACAGCAAAGCAAGAGCGAGCAGGCTTGTGAGCAAAGAACTTGGCGTATTCCTTGTTCATCTCATCGAAGTCGGCCATATCAGCGAGGAGGACCTGTTCGCAATACCCGAAACATCAGCCCAATCATTCATTCATTCCTGTCCCACAAACGGAGGAAGGAAGGAAGGGTATATATACGCACCGTAACCTTGAAGATCTTCTCCACGCTAGAGCCAGCCTCCTCGACAACAGCCTTGATGTTCTCGCAGCAGAGACGGGTCTTCTCCGTGACGGAACCCTCAATCAGAACGCCGTCCTTGGTAAGGGGGATTTGACCGGAGAG